GTAAATTTATATTAGGGAAATATCCTTTTCTTTGTAAATTAAATGCTGGGATGTTAAATTAAGTTTAAATTGTTCAATTTATTTATGCTTACTAATTCTTTTCAGTTCTGTGTTAACTGTGAGATCACTATGCACACAGACATTAAATCCATTTAGGTAATTTATTTTCTGACTTTCTTGAAGCAGTTTTCTCAGTAAGAAACCTCTCAATTTTCCAAAGAGATGCATTAGTGATCAGTGAAGAAGCCTGAAATAGAATAAATAATTTATATTACTGGATGTAATATAGTTTATATTACTGGAAGGCAATTTTTAAACGTAGATTACTCTTTTTTTTTTTAGACCATGACTTTCCTATCCTTTGGAATCTTTGTGTCTTAGATCTAAGTAGAGCTGCTTAAATTTTTTGTGATTTTTAGCACCTCCCCCTCCTTCCTATATGCCTGTTTCAGTTATCTGCTCTTGCTCTGGAAGCATGTTTGCACTGCCAAGCATAGTTATCCCTGGGTTTCTTTTTCTTTCAGAATTAGGACTTTCCAAACTTCTCTGGTTACATCTTGTATTTCCTGGCATCTGCATCAAATTTACCAAACGAGCTTGGTCAATTTTTTTTTTTTTTTGGTATTCTTATTCTGTCCAAAAAGAAATTCTCTTTTATTCCAGCGCAATGGAAGGGGAGGGGAGAATAAGTGTGCTTGTATCATCCCCTCTGTTTCAAAGTGGAATACAGGAATATAGGTGAGACATTCTGTGTAGTGGCAGGTCTGGCTCCATCCTTAACATGGTCATTGTGTGAAGCCTGGTGCCATTTGCGATTCTCAGATTGGTCCTTTGTAATAAATAATAAATAAATAGGGGGAAAGGGAATAAATAGCAAAAAATGAAGAGCAGAAGGGGAAATCAGTGGGGAAAAAGAAGCGTGGAAAAGGAAATAAATAGCAAAAAGTGAGTAAGGAGCAAACACCTGAATAGCAACAAGCGAATAGGCAGGGGGATGCTCTGAGCACCGAGAGGCAGCTGTGCAAGCTGAGAGCAAAGGCAGGTCCCCCGCAGCTCCCGGCTCTGGCCGGGCTTTCCCGTGCCCAGCCCCAGCTGCTCCAGCGCCTCTCCCGCCTGGAACGGGGAATTTGTGGCCCCGGGCTCCCGGTGCCGGCGGGCTGCGAGCGGGAGCAGCTTCTGCTCTGCGGGGCTGTGGCGGCGGCAGGTTCACATGACTGAGCTGCGAGAGATAGCAGGAGCGCTTTTTTTTCTTTCTTTTTTTTTTTTTTTAAAGCAGCTCCAGTCTGTGCACAGTTGGCTCCCAGCTGACAGACAGAATGTGGGGTGGGCTTTGTCACCAGAACGCTGGGTACTGCATGCCCAGCTATGCTCGCAATTCCACAGTGCCCAGAAACCTGCTGCTTATGTCAGGGTGCAGCCAGCCTGAACACATAGAAATTGGGTAGCTTGATTTTTGGGTTGTTTTTTTTTTTTTTTAATATTTTTTTTTGCCTCTTTCTTGCCTGCAAAGATTATATAATGAGGGGATTGCTGCTAAAGTAAAAAGGGAAAATGAAGTCTTTGTTAAATGCCTTCACAAAGAAAGAAGGTAAGCGATGAAAACAGAACACTTTAATGTTTCAGACTGGTGTTTTCTTGTGTACATTTAATATGATTAGCTTAGTGACTCTATAATTAATCAATTCCTGCAATTTATTTTTCAAAATTATTTGATGTTAGACAGTCCATTTAGGCAAGTGTTTATTAAAGCTGGATGTGACTTTATTCCTTTTAGGATTTTCTCTGAAGAATCAAATAGTTATAAAAATGTTTTTGTTCCCTAAGAAATGCATTTGGAGATACAGAAAGATTTTCCTAGGTGAATTTTATCAGTGAATGGTGCTGAATTGCACCTTCAGATGTATGAAGTGCCAGGAATAGGATTCAGAAAACTGGAGGAAGGATTATGTGGTACTTTCAAGTATGCTTTTAGGGATGATAAATTTAAACTTTTGGGGCACAGAACTGGTTCAGTATTTTCATGTCATTTTATATCAAGGGTTTTTCCAAACAAGTTTTGCCACAGTTATTCTTGCAGTTCTGAAACATAGTTAAATATTCGGGGAAAGCAGAGTCCAATAGGGACTAAAGCATGGACATTTGCATTTCATCATTTTTTGTTGTAGTTCTGTTTTTTAATTGTGAAAATAATATAAATAATGCTGATAAGAAGTAGCTAAAAAAATACCCACCCACTTACAGTATCCAGATTGCTGGGGAAAAGAAACAGTTGGGTGGAATATTAATCACTTCAGGCACAGAAATGTTTATTTTTAACTCTTTCTATAAAAGATTTGTGTTAGACACCCATCAATTGGTGTAATTAGTTGTCCTCTTCCCTATTTCCTGTAGTAAAGGCTAATTTTGCTCATAGTTCTCAAGAATAGAACATTAATAGCAAAACAAAAGCTAAACTCTTAAATAAAAGAGTTATTAATGCTTATTTAATGCTCTTAAATATGAACATTAAATGCTTGTAAAATGCTCCTGAAGTGTGTAAGGGAAAAAGATTTCCTTTCCTCTGGTGCCTGCAGGGTGGTTTCTCCAATCTGTCAGTACAGATGTGCCCTGCAGCTCTCTGTCCATGCTGTCACCATGCCCTGGCACCCTGTCCTTGTCCTCCCTCCCACCAGCAGAGACCCCACCAGCCTCTCCAGAGTCCCAGTAAACATCCCCAAAACGCTGGCACGATTTTGTTTTCTCCGCCTGTGGCTGGAAGGGCTGGGCAGGCTGCTTTCAGTTTAATGTGAAATTAATTAAAATCGAAAGGTCAGACTCAATTTTTACTGAATCCAAGGCAAACTTTGGTGACCTGAGGGAACAGCACTAGACCTTCTGGTAACAAACCTGAGCATGTCAAACATCCCCTATACTCAGTTTGTGTGTTTTCTCCTTGACTGAATTCTGCTTTGTTGTACCTGGAAAAGATCCCATCTTCAATGAAGTGTTTTCTGGAGCTGTATTCCAGATGTCAAAAATAAAGGAATGTAGAAATGTATCTCTGCCCCACACATCGACTTAAGGGTCTGTATGTGCCAGTTTTGGAGACAAATTCTGTGAGTTTGCTGCAAGTTAGCACTAACTGGGGCTTTCATTGTGACATCTGAAGCACCAAGGTGTTCTCATGACACCCTCAGCTGCTTTGAAACCTTAAAGAAATATGGAACGGAAAAAAACTTGAAATGTCAGGAAAATAATCCAGAGTTTCTGCTAGTTTCTAGCATAAGCATTGGACTTCTGTTCTTTCTCCCCTTTTAACAGCTTTTAAAGTCTATTTCCCTTATTTCAAAGGAAGCATGGGAATGAATTGAAGCCATTTCTGTGCATGCTGTTCCTGTGTTTGGTTGTTCAGATATTGTTGAGCCATTTACTAGAGGAAGTTTCATCTCACTGGAAATACCAAGGATGTTATTGTAAAAAATTCAGAATTCTAATTGACAAACTGTAATCATAAACTGACTCTGGTGAAAATGATACAAACCATTCTTTTACTCACAGTTCCATCTCTATTTTATGCTATAAATATGCTCTCAGCTTTGCACTGAAACCTTAAATTTTGCTTTGTTCTCTCAATTAAAGGCTCTATTTCAAGGCAGGATAGATTGATTCCTATCTATATTAATATTTATGTGAATTTATTTACTTGCATTATGACAGACATTCTTATTCTGTTTTTTTTTTTTTTTTTTTTTTTTTTTTTTTTTTGTGGTTTTGAATGGTATTGAATGAGTAGAAATTTCTGGCTTTTTGTAAATGGCACTTACTGGCACTTTAGACATGAAGGATGCTATTTTGTGGGTCTTCTTTCCAATTTAAATATGATTTTTTTCTTTGAGAATTACAACAGCTCAGTGAAGCCCTCAGAATAATGCCTGGCTGCCTTTTGTTAGTTATGCCACTGTGACTTTTTGAATGTAAATCTGTGCACTTTGGCTCAGGTTTTGTGACCCCATGAGCTCCACCGAGAGAAATTAATGAGGGCAGTTACAATAATGGGGATCAAGGCCGCCATGAGGTTTTGGGGTCAATTCTTTTATGACAGGGCAGGAAATTCCATCACATCTGCTGATAACTGAGTCCTTTTTTATTAGGGAATTTGCCTTCTAAGTTGCACTTGGGACAAACTGACCCACTGGAGTGGGAAAAGGCAATCTGGAAAATGGTGTGAATGCTTGTGTGTACCAGGAGCATGCATGGAGGGCTGGACCCTCTGCTCGGAGTTAGATATGTGCCACCCTTGCTTTGTTTTGTGTTGTGGCTCTTTCATTAAGGAGTTTCTTGGAGCCTTTGGATACCTTGGTGTTCCCTCTGGGATGTGGCACATGACGGAGCCAATGTATTACCCTGGGGTAATATGCTCTATATACCATAGTAATGAATGTGGTAGGAATGCCAGGATTAGAAAGAGGGGAATGCCTGGGGATTGCAGTGTAATAGAGTTCTGCCAGGACAGGAAGACGTGTCCTCGATTTTTAACCTGCAAGATGGGGATAAGGTGAATGTTCACAGATTTCAGGTTAGGCCTGAACTTGAACTTAGGTCTGGACCAGTTTGGGTACCAACTGGGGGATGGAAACTGCAAGTCCATTTATCAGGAATTTTGCTGGGCAGCTCTGTTCTGTGCCTTTCTGACTGAATGTGACAACACAGCACTCAAAAGAAGTGCTGAGCCTCAAACTTGGCAATAATGAGGTGTTTCCTATTTCCTAGAGCACAGTTCAGAATGTTCAGCAGGCTCAGGGCACTGGTGTTGCCTCACCATGTATTCAAGCCAGCAAACAGGTTAATGTTGCTCTGTTGTTCTTGATTTAATGATGTTCTAAAGATAATTTGATCAGCTCTGCTGGCAAGGTGGAGTTTCTGTCTCTGCAGAAGAAACAATGCCATATGTTGCATGTGGTGGTAAACACACATGGATGAGAAATCATCTGAGATCACCCTCCATGTCTTTCTTTGCACAGTGCCCTTTAGGGAGGCTCCCACCTACTCCAATAGGAGGAGGAGGCCTCCCAGCACCTTGGCAGCCCCCCGGATCCTGCTCCGCTCGAACAGCGACAACAACCTGAACATTAACAACCTCCCCGAGTGGTCAGCCTCCTCTTCTGCCTCTTCACACCGCAGCCTTTCCCCTCACCTGCTCCAACAGATGCAGAATAATCCCAATGGAACTGTAAAAACTGTGGGGAGTTACACTCCATCCTCCCGGAGCCGCTCGCCATCCCTCAACAGGCTGGGAGAAGATGCCAAGAGGCAGCAGCACAGGCACATCAGGTGAGCTTTGGCTGTTTCACAGCACGAGGTACTCCTAAAAGCACCATGCTGGCCTGCCATGTTCCTATATGTTATTTACACTCTAGAATATATAGTTGCTCTTTCTCAGCACAGTGGACCGTGCCCAAGTGTAAATATTTTAATTGGAAGCACCAAAGCCAGCTGTTTCCTTAAAGAGCTTCAGCAGCCAGGCAGACTTTCAAGTTCAGCAGTGACTTAACACAGAGTTTGCACCTCCAGCTCAAAGTGCTGGCTCTGCACATCTTCCCATAGTTGAAATAAGGATTGTATATAACAGTGAAGCAAACTGCTTCTGGGATACCTGGTCCCTTCACAGAACTATTGGTCATACCTGGAACCTGTGTTGGAGCTCGTCATGGGTGATGGAGCAGAGGCTGTTTAAGTCCTCTCTTCTGTAGGTGTGTGCGGAACCAAAGAGTGAAATAGAGGGAGTAATGTGATCTAGCAGGCATTCTGGGCAAATATCCTGCAGCTTTATCCCACTGGAGAGCAAATCCGACTAATGAGAGTCATGTAGATATTGTAAGCAATGGAATAAAGCAGAGGGCTGGGGCTAAGTTTTGATCACATATGGGGGCTGCAGGTTTGAGAAGGCACTGCCCTGGACTCAGGAACTCCTGTCAAATGTGAAAGAGATGGAGCTGCACCAGGACAAGGAGTTAAAGTGCTGCAAAAAGGCTGGGAGGCATCAGAGCTGAGCGCTGCTGGAGAGAACCAGAGCTCACATGTTTTGGCCAAACACATGTAACTCATTTGAAAATCAGGCTTTGTCTGTTCTGTTTCCTAATATATATGTATATGTCTGCTGTTCAGAGTAGAAAAGGACCTGGGCATTGTCAAGAAATGCAGCTGTTAGTTTCTCTCTGCTGTTTGTAGGTGTAAGGGATGTTCAGTGGAGTTTTCAAGTTAGTAAAACAAAATGTCATGTAGCTGACACTGCCTCTGTTACCTTGCCTGTTCCTCTGCTCTCCCTGGCCCTAGGCACCCAAACTGCCAGGCACTGTGATGGATACAATACTGCTGGACAGGGGAGATCTGGTGAGACAGAGTTGTCTGGCATGTAAGAAGGAGTGAAATTAAAGGGAAGGATGGGGATACAGATGCTGTATGCCAGTGGTTTCATGCAGCAGAGCAAACTCATCTTGCTTTGTTGTATGTGATAATAATGGCAAAAGTTCATTTGGTATAATTTGGGTGGCATTTCCTCACAGAGTCCAGTATCAACTCAAGATCAGTCTGTAATGAGGCTTCAACTGGATGAGGAGTTGAAGTGAGGAGGTTGTAAGGTTCTTTTCAGAGAATGAGTGTTCTTTTGTTCCTCTGGATTCTGCTGATGCCACCAGAGTGGGAGGTTCTACCTTAGAGTCAGTGATTATTTTAGCTGAATGGGATAAAAAGTGCCTTTTCATCAGTGTTCCTGGGATAACACACTTCAAATTCTAGAAGTATAAACAATCCTTTGAGCTGGGGGTAACAATTAGAATTTTTTTTTTTTTTTTTGATTAAGCAAACATTTATTTGCTTTGACTTTGTTCAGCCACTTTCCTCTTCCCTTTCTGAAAAGTAGCTCAGGTGACAATGGGAGCCAATTTAATGCCTGAGAGTTTGTGGATATAAAATTTTGGTGTTTCTCTTAGTGCCTCAGCATCACAGCATCTGAAACTGCTACCCAGCTGCAGAATTCCCTCGGTGCCACCAAGACTTGTTTCAGAGAAGTCCAGAGTACATGCAAGTACTGAGAAGAGAGCTGAAGGCTCTCTAAATTTAAAGACAACTAAAAGCATTTATATATATAATTTTTCCTGCAAATAATGCCTTTTCTTGCCTCAGGCCCATTTTGCAGTCAGAAATGGCGCCTTATATGACACTTTCCTCACAGATTTTGTTTAACTGCATGACCACCTACTTACTGTTAGCTAAATGTGGGAACTGTTGCTGTCTCTGCTTATTATTTGCAAATAATAACAGTCACTGCGAAGCTGTTGCTCCCCTGAGATGGAAAAGCCCTTTTTAACAGAGCAGGAGGTTGGGTTGTGGAGCAGAAGCAGCCAGAAGGGGCACAGTGATGGAGAAGGTCAGACTGTGACAAAGGGTTAATGAGGTCTGTGGAGAGGTGCTGGAAAGCCATGACAGAAGGGGTTCATGTGACTTTTGCAGCCTGTGTGGCTCAGGTGTTCTGTCCTCTCAAACTGAAAGAGGAGAGATTTAGACTGGGTATTAGGAAGCAATTCTTTCCTGAGAGGTTGGCAAGTCACTGGACCAGACTTCCCAGAGAAGTTGTGGCTGCCCCATCCCTGGAACTGTCCAAGGCCAGGCTGGAACAACCTGGTCCAGTGGAAGGTGTCCCTGCCCATGGCAGGGGGTGGCACTGGATGGTCTTAAAGGTCCCTTCCAAGCCAAATTGTTCTTGATTCTCTAACATTATTATAACAAGGCTGTTGCTCTTCACAGCAAAGTGGTTGGGAGTGGGGGGATCTGGGAATGAAAGGGAAGGGACAGCCTTTGTGTGGAATGTACCCCACAGAAATCAGTGAATGAGATGCCAACACAGCCTCAGTGAGGGCTGAGCTGCCAAGGATGGCCACCTTCTTCTGGCTGAGAGGGAAACATGTCTACACCTCTCAAAATCTTCGCATCCTCCTGCTGGTCCTTCCTGGCATGGCACTTGCTGGGCTTGGAGCCCACGCTGGGGACAAGCAAGGGAGAGGAAAGATCTCTTTTTAAAAAGTCCTGCACCCCACGTTGCAGCCCTGATTTCCACTAGTTAGCCTGTTGCCTGAGAAGTTCTGCATTCCTTGTGTGGGTTTAATGTGCCATTTCCCTTTTCTCTTTCAGTGAGGGAGAAAATGAATGTATGTTCTGGGCTCACAGTTAAAGTAGATGCTGGGAGATAACACTGGGAATAGCTGCCACCAGACTAGGCAGAAACACAGCTTGATACAAGTGGAAATCAGATGTGTAGCTATAGTTTATAGATCTGGATTTGGTTTTTTTTATGGTGATGACTGTTCCTCTACTTATAAGGAAAAAGGAATGGAGCAAAAGAACTGAAATCTGAATGTCATCTTTTCCAGGCTTTTTTTAAACAACTGTGAGAGTTGGCTGAGGTTTCTGGTGCAAACTCCATCACAGACATGCAACCAAAGCTCACTTCTAAACTCCTGAGTGGGGCTTACCATTAGCAGCATCCCTTCACAGTAATAGAGCAGAACAAGGTGAAAGGGGCGTGTAGTTCCAAATGAGTTCTAAATGGTGAAGAGGTTACTGCAGGAAAACAGGAGTGTTCCTGATAGGAAAGATCCAATAGGTGGGAGTTTTTATCAGACTTCTGTACCTATTGACTTACTGGCTCTCATTTTTGTAGGAGACTGGTTTAAAAAAAAAAAAAAAAAAAAAGGTGAAAACTCAGCAGACCCCAGCCCTTGTATTTCATTTTGCTTAAAGCAGTTTGAGATACTTTCTTACATGAAGGCAAGCAGAGTGTTATAATCACCCTTCTTCCTTTGGTAGCCTAACTTTTCCTCACTAATCTCTTTTAGTATTACTCCTTCTCATTAATATTTTCCTTTTCTAGACTTTGGTTAAGACTGCAAGTTTTTATGCTTTGGGGTTTTTTTGAAGTTGACTGCAAGTTTGTTATGACAGGTTTCCCACCCTCTTTAGTATTTGCCTCTTTCTCTTTTCATATCTTTTTGACAGTTCACTCATTTTCCCACAGGTTTAAGAATGATCTTATGCATTGTTCTCCACCTTTCAACAATTCCTTTTTTATACACCATGTCTGTGAGGTGGTGGTGACCTGTGGCTCTCCTGGGCACATTCTGGAGTCACTGAGTGAGCTGGTGATTGCCACCCAGAAGAAATGATCATTTGGAAAATGTTAACCACAAGTACCAGGCTTTGTGCATATCTAAATTTAACCTTGGGCCTTGGAGTGATGAAGTAACTTGATTATTCAGTCCATTTAGTTAATAATTCAGTGCTCTCACTTGTTCACTCTGTGTTACAAAGATATCCATTCCCAATAATTGTAAATACACACATTTTCAAGTCCCTCTGACAAATAGACATGCTGGGAATGTATGACGGGCATATAAATTTTGAATTTAATTAGGGCCTGGGAATGTGCAAGTTTAATTTGCGGAAAAATGAAAAGCTTTAATGCTGTGTGTTTTCTGTTCTAGGCCATTATGGTCAGGTGAATATTGATCATGTTTCATACTGAAAGATTTCAACTCTTAAAAGCTCCTGTTTGGTATTTTTTCTGCAGGGTTAGATGTCTTACTGGGAGACAGTTTTGTTATTCACTGCTTAATTTAATCCTGCTAATGTGATGGTAAATTATTAACTTTCCCCTTTTGAGTAAGCTGTTAATGATTTTTCATTTCAATTTCCAGTGCCGTTTACAGTCCCAGTGCCAACAAGGATACTCTGTCTGCCTTGGATTATCAGGGTCCCAAAAGGAAGCTCTACAGTGCTGTCCCTGGGAGACTTTTTATCGTTGTAAAGCCATATCAACCTCAAGGGGAAGGGGAAATTCACCTGCACAAAGGAGATAGAGTCAAAGGTGAGCACCTAATTCATTTGGAATAAACCTTTTCTCTTGCTAGGTGGGAATTTTATGTAAAAATTCTCTTTTACACAGGTAAAAATAATATGTATGTGAAAGTTCTTTTATGCATTTGTTTCTTTGCAGGGTATTTTGCTCCTGGTTCGGTTTTGTAACCAATGCATATTTAGTTGCCACTTTAGCTGACTTCAAAGTGCTGCCACAACTCACAACTTTGTGTAGTAATAGCACCATTTTCTCTTACCCAGGGCACGGAATTTGCTGCTGGAGCTATTCCAGAGGCACTGCTCCAGGGCTTTAAGGGGTTGTAAACCTGTCAGCTCTCTAAACAGCTCAGGAAGGGAAATGGGGATAAGGTCAGCTCTGCTTCAGGCCCTTTCCTCCAGGAACATTTAATTGGTTGAGTGGAAAAAGTCCCCTCATGGGATTTGGGATAAGTGGGTAGGGAGAACTTCCTGTAAATATAATTTTGGAGGAAGCATGGTAGTGCATGTGAAATTTCTGTTCATTACTGCATATACATGCTAAGACCAGGTTTAAATTAAGCTAAGCTTTGTTATTGCTTTGAAGGCAGTCAATACATCCAGGTACAGCTGAAAAACTGGGAGATAGTGTGTACAGGACTTGCCTTCCCCAGAGTGAGGTGTGAGGCTGTGGTTTTGCACATCCAGGTAAAACAGAATAAAAGAGACTTTGTGTTGCACCCATACGAATCAAACAAGAGTTATGGAAATCAAACAAAAGGGATTAAATTTAATGTCCTAAATAAATTTTCTTGTGAAGGGCACTACTTATCTCACAAAGGAAGATTTCAAATACCTCCTCCCTTGAGCCTGCAAACAGTAGCTGGAAAAAAAATAGGGAGCCATAGAAGGTATTTTTGCATTTTTATTTTTGGATGCACTGATTCTGAGACATTTTTGAGTTTAATAATTTCTGTTAACTCCAGCCCTCCGAAGGTGTTAGACAGAAATTTGAAGGGTGCTGCACTTAAAGGTAAAACATGCAAAGTTAATTTTAAATGCAAGGACGAAGGGAGAAGGTTAAACTTAGAGTCTGTAGGGCTGAGAAGATAATTTTGCAGTTCTCAAGTTTGTTCCCTGATCAGGTAGGAAGCAGTGATTATGATCTCATGGTGCACAAAAACTAGGATGAAATTTTGGGAGTACTAAATAACTTTCTCCACTCAGTGTTCATAGGGATCTTGCAGGTGTCGATGGACAAGGAATGAGTGGCTGGTCCGTGGCAGGTGTTGGACACAGAGATGTTCAATTGTCCTGTTGGATTTAAGGGTGCAGGAATATTCTGTTTATGTAGAGGACTGAATATCAACCACACAGGTTCTTCTCACCAGACTAAGACAACTCTGGTCAGTTCTGGGAAAAGACAAGACAGAAATTGTGTTTCCTGGCAAAAGAGGAAACACTGCAACAGGTTGCCTGGAATACTGAATATTTTAGAGTCATTCCCTATCTGGCATGTGGTTTACCTTAGGTTTTGAGACTATTAAAAAATAATGAATCCAGGTAATAAAAATAATCCCAGAATAAAGGATTTAAATTTCAATGAAGTGTTTAATGTTTTTGAAAAATTAATTCAGGAGCCCTTGGTTCTAATTTACAGTAACAGTCACTGGAAAACATTGCAGAAGGAATTAGTCCACTTTTCATGTTTTCATAGAATCGTGTAGCCTAAATGTGAGACCAGTGATTTTGGGGGGACACGCTAAATGCTGAAATAAAAAATGGACTTATGTCTAGGGTTTCTTCTTTGTGGGGAAAATGTAAGTTTATTGAAAGTAAGACATTAATTATTACTGTCATTAAAAGGGGGATGTGCCCATCCTACATCAAATCATTCCTGCAGGGATTATTTTTTCAGCTTCAAGAATCTGATTTGCACATTGAATCCAAATCTGGCAGAATTTTTGCAGGTCCATTTTATGTTTTAAAGCATTTTAGAGAGCTTTGCTGCAAAGCCAGGCAAGGTTTCTATATGTATCAGCCTGCTTTTGGAGAGGGTTTGGGGAAAGAACAAGTGTACATAGGGATTGTCAGTGTTACTCCCAAGGATGAAACCTTGAGAAACATAATTTAAGGCTGTTTGCATGGCAGGGCTGGATCAGTGTGTGACAGGCTCCCAGAGCTAATCAAAGGGAAAACTTTCAGAACAAGATCAAATCCTATTTTGTGTTACCATGTCAATGGTTCCTCAGCTGCAGCAAAAAATATGTCAGAATGAACACGGCAAGGTCATGGAGAGAACAAAGAGAGCAGGGAAAAGACAGCGGTGCTTTAAAGAGGTCTCTGTTGTGTAACAGTATCCAAGAAGCTGTTCAAACTTTTTGTGCCAAAAATCCAGGTCCAATTAAATCTGGATTCCTGTCCCTGTTTCAGTCAAAATATAATTATTGCTAGACAATAAATGTAGTCATAGGACAAGGAGCAATGGCTTTGAACTGAAAGATGGTAGATTTAGACTAGATTTGAGGAGGAAATTCTTCCCTGGGAGGGGGTGAAGCCCTGGCACAGGCGGCCCAAGAAGCTGTGGCTGCCCCATCCCTAGAAGTGTCCAAGGCCAGGTTGGACAGAGTTTGGGGCAATCTGGGATAGTGGAAGGTTACCCTTTCACTGGGAGAAGGTTGGAACAAGATGATCTTGAAGGTCCCTTCCAACCTAAACTATTCCAGGATTCTGTGATGTTTAAAAAAATTACTCCATGTGAGCAGGGTGGGCTCCCTCTCCACCCTCCAAAAGCTCAGGCAGTAGAACTCAGAGTCCTCAGTGCTGTGAGAGTGCCAAAACTGCTGACTATAAGGAGATCCTGCATATTTTCCTCTTTCTGAGCAGGAATTCTTGGTACTGGATGTATTTTCTGTCTTTTACAGACTTACTTAGCAAGACCATGGCTCAGCCTGTTTGGGGTTTAGCAACTTGCTCTGTGCAGTACTTGGAGGAAATGGGAGAATATTAATCCCCATGGAATTCAATTTTTCCTTCACTTCGGAAACATACTCACTGAGAAATGGAAAAGCTTTGTCTTGTCCCCTCTCCACTCCAGCTTGGTGACTGCACTGTTCTGTGTAAGATGTGTAAGACACTGATGCCCAAGTCCTGGCTCTTGGAGTGCTCTGGGGAGTTCAAACGTGGCCTGGCACTGGCTGTGGGATTGTGCCCCGTGTTCAGGCTGACCCCAGGGAGATGCTCATCACGAGTACATCCCATGAGACTAATCACAGCAAAGATGTAGCAAGGCATTTATTGCAGGGATAAAACCCCAGAACAACATATTAGAGAAAGGGATTACTTGGGAAATGTTTTTATGGATTTTCTTTTTTTACTTGGCAGAATTAGAAGGGTCACAGAGAGCGATGAATTCCTAAACTCTTGATGAAAAGTCAGATGTTTTCATCAGATGCAGATGAAGCAGGTTTTTTTTTTTTTTTTTTTTTTTTTTTTAAAACTGGTAGAAGTGCATGAGTGGCAATAGTTCACAGTATGTGATACAAGGAAACTGCTCGGAGAAATCTGTGAATGGGCAAGGTTCAAAAAAATGTAAACTAAACAAAATGGTCTTGTATTCATAGGATATTATGTAGCCTGTACAAAAATACCTGCTGTATTTTTAGTTGTTAGTCATACACACTGACATCTTTTGTGTGTCTGCCACTCATGAGAGAAGAGCCATGGCTGCTTGCAAAAATAAAGCTGATATCTTTATTTATACCAGAACTGCCCTAATCTTATGTTTTCACATAAATAAAGGAGACCTAGTTTGATTCCTCACTGAAGCACTTCTAATATTTTGGTTTTTATTTTTTTTCTTTCTTCCTTCTGTATCTGAAATTCCATAGCAATAAATCTGTCACTATCCAAATGCACACAAACATATATAAAATATCTGTAAAACTAATTTGAATCAGCTTTTATGCTCCTAAATTTAATTCTTACACTGGAAATTAAGTGGTCTCTTTGATAGCAAAACTCAGAGATTGTAATGCTCAAAAAATTCTTTGTGTGCAAATTAGTAGTTTTCTTGTCCATGAAGATAAAGCAATAGAGAAGGTTTTTGGGAAGGTAACAGGTCTGAGTTCCAGGTGCAGACAGGCTCTGGTCACTTCAAAATTAAAAAATCAGCATTGTTTTCAGAGTCTGGGTTATATTAAAACATACCTAAAATGCACATAAACTATCCTTCACTGATTTAGAAAGAAAAAACCCACCTGATTAAAATACTTTTAGAGCATTTGAAGTCTCACACTGCTCATAGCTTTGGTTCTCTTGGTCTTCTGAGATCCTTCTTCTTTCCAGGCTGCCTCCCTCCCCTTCTCTCTCAGCTTTTTCTAGTGCCCAGTGTATGGAAAAACAGGGAGTTATTTCAGTATCTCAAATATGCTCCAGCAGACTTCCATGAGCCCTCTGAGATACCTCTGGTGCAGGCACATCACAGAAGAGTTGTGGTAAACCCAAATGGCAGCTCTCATCTCCATTCCTCGGGGTCAGAGGAGCAGGAGTAACTCAGTAGCAGCAGCTCAAGCATCTGCTCTGGGCAGGAAGTCAGTACTTCTGTGCATCAGAAATACTGACCCTTGCAACTCTGCTTTTATTTCAGTGCGATCTCAGCCAGCAGGGCAATCCAAATATATCACTAACATTTTCATTTCTTGTGAAATCCACTTGTAAGTCATTTTGAAAAAGAAAGATTATTAAACCCCTGCTGTGCTCAGAGATATTGCCAACAGACAGTGCTTGTGGGCAGGAGGAAAGTTGGTCTCCTGGGCTTTTGCACTTGTTAGATTAGTAAACAAAATACTGGGAAGGGATGAGCCTCAGAAGGCTGTTCTGTTTCTTCAAGAGCATTTTGTACCTTGTGTGGTAAGTGTGGCAGCAAAATTGAACCTAAGAGGTTTGCAAGGTGTTGTTCAGCTGCTCTTTCACATGAAGGATGAAATGAATGTGAAATGGAATATTAATCTTTCCCAGGTTCACTGGTCTGTT